GAAGGAAGGGGGGAGAGGGAAAGAGACAGAGGAGGGAGAGAAGGAGAGACACACAGAGAGAAAAGAAGGTTCTGAATTCACTATTCTTAAAGCCTGGCTTGTGACCAGGTTCAACCATACATTAGAAAGAATAAATTTCCAACGTAATGTTCATAACAGCATTATTTATAATAGCCTCAAACTGAAAACTACCCAAATGCCATCAACAGTAGAACAGATAAAACTAAGTCTCATGTCCTAGGAACCCCCTCAGGCCAAGGCAAACAGGGTAGTTGGTTGTCTTAAACACTGCCTACTGTAGGGAAGGTAGAATTTGGCATTCAAAGCCTGCGAAGTTAGAGGGGCTTGATAAACAACTTGGGCTTCCCATGGAAACCCCAGAAAGGCCATGCCTTAAGTATATAGCATATTCTAAGATGAAGGGCAAAACCAAAATATATCCACTGTAACAAAGTATAAAGCCGAGCCCCCTTTGGCGGGCTTATACTTTGTAACTTTGTTATGTTCAAGGTGATCAACCAGTAATTGAATGGCCTCCTAGAACAAAACTTCATCCTCTTCAGAGGAAGATAAGTACACCTAGAGTTTCTATGATATATTATCTATGATGTCCAATATGCAATAAAAGATTAGTAGGCATGTACAAAAAATAAATGTGACTCACAGTCACAGGAAAATCAATAAACAGACCCACAGATAATATCAATGTTAAAAATAGTGGACAAGAATTTTTAAGTAATTGACAACATGTTTTAAGAATATACAGATAATAATTGAGAGGCTGAGGAGAGAGGATCACTTGAGCCCCAGAGTTCGAGTCTAGCCTAGACAACACAGTGAGACCCCATCTCTAAAAGAAGTGGCCAAGCATGATGATACACACCTATAGTCTCAGATACATGAGAAGCTGAGGTGGGAGGTTCACTTGAGCCCAGGAGTTTGGGGGTACAGTAAGCTATGATCATACCACTGCACTCCAGCCTATGTGACAAAGCAAATCTCCATCTCAAAAAGCCAAAACCAAAACCAAAACAAACCCAATTATCTGAAATAAAAAAAATTCATTGGATGGCATTTATAGTATCTTAGATGAACAAAAGAAATAATTGGTAATTTTTTTTTTCAGATGGAGTCTCGCTGTGTCGCCCAGGCTGGAGAGCAATGGCACGATCTCAGCTCACTACAACCTCCACCTTCCAGGTTCAAGCAATTCTCCTGCCTCAGCCTCCTGAGTAGCTGGTGATTAAGGTTCGCAATACCAAGCCCAGCTAATTTTTGTATTTTTAGTAGAGACGGGGTTTCACCATGTTAGCTAGGCTGGTCTCAAACTCCTGACCTCAAGTGATCTGCCTGCCTTGGCCTCCCAAAGTGCTAGGATTACAGGTGTGAGCCATCATGCCCAGCCAAATTAGTAAACTTTAGAAATCATCTAAACTAAAGCATACGGACAACAAAAGTTTGAAAAAATGGACAGAACATCAACAAGCTGTGGGAGTGAATCAAGCAGTTTTCTAACATACATGCAGTTGATATCAAAGCAAAACAGGAAGGAGAGGTGGGACAGAACAAAATATTTGCCAAAAATTTTTCTCAAATTGAGGAAAAATTTGATATCTTTCCTACAATTTCTACAAATTGTATATCCTACAGATCAGGGATTGTCTGAGTATTATATTTATCCAAGCCAAATGAAGAAAATGAAAACCATGCTTACACTTTTATGATAGTCAAACTACTAAAAACCAAAGATAAAAAAGAAACAATACAAGGAGCCAAATAAAGAAAGGTGGGCATGGTGGCTCACGCCTGTAATCCCAACACTTTGGGAGGCCAAGGTGGAAGGACTGCTTGATCACATATGTTCAAGTCTACAGTGAGCTGTATCATGACATGGGACTCCAGCCCGGGCAACCGAAACTCCATCTCTTTAAAACAAACAAACAAAAAGATGATATATTACATACAAGTAAGCAATAATAAGAAGCTAAGAACCATAGCTGATTTCTCATCAGAAATAATGGAGGCCAGAAGACAAAAGAGTGACATATTTAAATTGTTGAAAAAATTCTGATTCCATTTATATAAACACATTTTTAAATGGGAAAATATTTACATTGTGTTAGAAGTCAGGATAGTGACTACCCTTCAGAGAGTAACGATGTGAAGTGGGAAGAAGGGTTGATGGGATACTAGTAACATTCTTTCTTCATCTGTGTGCTGATTACATAGTTCTGTTCAGTTTGTAAAAATTCATTGAGCTGTACACTTTATAATATGTTCACTTTCTCTAAGTATTTTATACTTTCACAAATAGTTTAGGGAAAAAACTTTGTAAAATAGATGAAAGGTTCAGAGAAAATACACATCTAGGGCCTACTACAGTGGATGGTATTCATAGTGTAAATTTTAGGAAAGGTTACTATTATTATTTTGTCATCATATCCCACAGAAAGTTTTGAGAGATCTAAATAAACCAAAAACCCCAAGCTTCCTTGGGAGGTAAATCTTACTCCTCAATTTGATTTTCAAGCTCTTCTAAGCACCTAGCAGGATGATGCTATGTATATAGCATTCACTAAAATACTTATTAAATTAGTATAGTCTCCTAATTTAGGATAGTATTCAAATACAAGGTTGCAAATGGACACTTTTATTTTCTGTCTACTGCATCTCTCTTTCCCATATTCCATTTCCCATATTCCATTCCTCTTCAGATTCCCTTAATAATCCTTTGATTTATACAAATCAAAGTACTATTATACCTTTGAATGTTCTAAATATAGCACCTTGAGCTCTTTTAGAAAAGCAGATACCTAAGAACTAAAACACCAAAAAGGCAAACACGCAAACTAACCTAAGCGAAAGACTACAGACATCTTTGATGCACACATTCCCTTTCAGCCACATCTTCCTAAGTCCTAAAAAAAGCCTGGACCACCCAGAGAGCAGCCTCAAGGGAGAGCACACAGATGCTGCTGACCCAGTGTCACAGAAACCAAAGCTAAAACACCCCCAACAGCACTAGCTGCAAAGCTCCCCTCAGTGTTGGCTTTGGCAGCAAACCTGACGCCCCTTATCAGCAGAGATACCTTTGAAGTAGCTGGCAGCCTTCCATCCCCTACTCAAATAAGCTCAGCTTCACATTCTATTCTTTTCTCCAAAGAGGATCTTTTCATCAGATATGAGAAAATAAAGCTCAATTAATTAGAACAGATTTTTGCTACCAACAAGATAAATTGGGCAACTGGAACAGCTGTCTGTAAAGCACTGTACAACACTGTTAGTGACCATGCCATAATGTGGAGGAAATTCAGTCCAATAACAGATACTGAGTTCAGAGAAGCAGGAGGGATATGGTGGATGGGGAAGGGAGGGAGGGTTAAATCACTCCATCTACTCCTTCTCCCAAAAGTTAAACCCTTTTTCAAAGGGGCAGAGCACAGGGACACAGCCTTTGGAAAACCACACTTTTCCTCCATTCTCAATCAACAGCACCTACCAGGGACATTCAACTATACCAGCCTTGCGGGTCATTTCTTCTCCTCTTCTTATTTATGACCATCATGCCACCCAACATGCCTTCTCAATTATCATTATCCTCTCTCCTCACACATGCCAAACTCAAAACACACCATAGGAAATCCTATCCCAGTCCAAAGGGATACCAGATAGGTAACATGCACTGCTTTTAGTTTTAAATCTCCTTTATCCTTTTTAACTACCACACTCATTTCCTTACTGTGAAAAGAAATCTGACTGTTGTGGCAATGCTCTTGTGATTACTAATGGCAAAAGGACATGTTTAACATCTGAGGGCCTTGGAGAAAAGTATTAACTGAGCCTCTTACATTCCTTCCTCAGCACTCTTCTTGAAATCTCCACTTCCTACAGTGTGAAGGAAGCCAAATTCACCCTTTGTCACCAGATTTATTTATCTGAAGTTAACTTCACCCTTCCTCACCCTCCAAGAATAAAGTAAGAAACCACAATGGGTTGCCTAGAGAAACTAGCCTAGATGCTTTAACACTGTCTGTTGCAGAGGCAAACATGGCTCACATACAGATAGACAGGATCTTAGGGCTTCAGACATTCTCTGTGCTCTGCAGTTTCCCCAAGATGGAAAACAGTGCAGCAGTGATTCTCAGCCCTGGCTGTAGGTAACAATCACCCAGGCTCTATTCCAGAAACGCTGACTCAATTGTCCTGGGGTAGGGCTTTGGCATGGGTATTTTTAAATTGGATCAACTTTATTGAGGCATCATTTACATAAAATAAAATGTACGCCATATTTTCAGTGTTCAATATGATAAATCTTGTCTAATGTGCCACCATGATCAAGATTATATAACATTATAAAAATGTTATAAAACATCATTTAAAATGTTATATAATGTAGGCTATAAAAACCCCACAAATTCCCTTGTGTCCCTTAGCAGTCAATCCTTCATCCCCACCCTGGCTGCAAGGCAATCAATGACCTATTCTCTATCATATAGTTCAGATTTGTCTTTTCTAAAATTTTATAGAAATGGAATCATACAGAATGTACTCATTGTGCTTGGCTTCTTTTTATCAACATGGTGTTTTTTGAGTTTATTTACACTGTATCAGCATTTCCCTTCTTCTTATTGCTGAGTAGTATTAATACATGGATACACCACAATATGTTTTTCCATTCATCTGTTGATGGACATTTGGGTTGTTTCCAGTTTGGGCTACTATGAATAAAGTACCTATGGAAGCTGTAACCAATTACTGCAAACGTGGTGGCTTTAAACAACATACATTTGTTCTCTTAGAGTTCTGGAGGTCAGAACTCCAAAACCAATTTCACTGGGCTGAAACCAATGTGTCAGCAGGGCTGCTTCTGCTCCGGAGGCTCTCAGAAAGAATCCGTTTCCTTGCCTTTTACAGCATCTAGAGCTGTATTCATTGGCTCACAGCCACTTCCTCTGTATTCAAAGCCAGCGGCATAGCATCCTCTCTCTATGACTCTGCTTCCCTTTGCTTCTATCACATGACCTTCCTCTCTTTTATCTGTAATCTCCTTCTTACGAGGACATTTGTGATTGCATTTAGGGCCCACCTGGCTAATCAAGCATGATATCCCCATCACAAGATCCAGAAATTAGTCATACTTGCAAACTATTACATTATTACATGCATTAGGTAACATTCACAGGTTCCAGAGGTTAGAATATGGACCTCTTTTTTTTTTTTTTGAGGGGCGCATTACTCAGCCCATCACAAAAGCTTTATGAATATTCAGGTGTGAGTCTTTGTTTAGACATATGCTTTTATTTCTCTTGGGTAAATGCCTATAAATACCTGGAATTACTGGGTCATAAGACAAGCACATATGTAACCTCATAAGAAATTGCCAAACTATTTTCCAAAGTGGTTGTATCATTTTCACACTCTCACCAGCAATATATGAGGGTTCTGGCCGACTTCCTTAACACTTGGTATTGCCAGCTGCTTCGATTTTAACCATCCTAGTGAGGCTATAGTGTATATCATCTTACCGTATTAACTTGTACTTCCAAGATGATTGATGATATTGAGCATATTTTCATGTGCTGATTGGCCATGTATGTATTTTTATTAGTGAAATGTTTATTAATTTTTTTCCATTTTTTAAAATTTGGGTAGTTTGTCTTATTATAGTACAGGGGGCCCTTCCCTTTCAGGTAGCCGCTGCAAGGGAGAGAGGCACATATGTTAGCATTTTTCTACACACTTATCAGAAAGATCAAAGGCTTTTAGGATTTCCCTACTGTTGCTTCTCACAACTTCTAAGAACTTAAAAGGAGAGCCAGGTGGGAAAGTGGAACATGAAAGTGGACAAGGATGGTGACGATCGGAGCACAGCACCACGGAAAGGCATTTAAGCCCCTGGATGTCTGCAGGCAGGCCTGGCTAATGTCAGGCCTTCCTCAAGAGCCGGGCAGAGCAGTGTTCTCTGAACTTCCCCAGTGAAAGGGAAACTCGCCTTCATGGCCTGCTAAGTAGCGGGTGCCTTCCCAGGCACTGGCGCTACCGCAAGGCCTGCCTGCTAGGTAACGGGCACCTTCCCAGGCACTGGCGCTACCGCAAGGCCCGCCTGCTAGGTAACGGGCACCTTCCCAGGCACTGGCGCTACCGCAAGGCCTGCCTGCTAGGTAACGGGGCACCTTCCCAGGCACTGGCGCTACCGCAAGGCTCTCACTCTCATCTCCTGATCACTTCTCATAATGTCCTTTGGTTGCTAATTCTATTTCACCTGGTTGTTTCTATACTACAAGGCTAAAATGTTTTTATGTTATAATACTAAAGATTAATAATAAAAAATAATGATTTAATAAGATTGATTATATAATTGAATATATGATTGTTTCTAAATATATTTGGTATCATTGTTAAAACTAAGTAATCTGTCATCTATTATACTGGGACAGATTGTGCCTTCACAGTCTCTTGCCTTGGCACCTGGGCAACTTTCTTCCTACATACTGAGTTCTCAGAGTTCTTTATTCTATATTCTGACATAATTCCTTGTCAGATATATTACAAATATTTTCTCATGGTCTGCGTCTTGTCTTTCATTTTCTAAATAAAGTCTTTCCAAGAACAAAAGTCCAAGACTTGATGAAGTCTGATTTATCCTTTTTAAAATTTTATAGTTCATGCTTTTTATATCCTAAGAAACCTTTGTTTATTCAAGGTCACAAAGATTTTTTTAAAACTCCCCGAGAAACTTTCATGCCCAGGCAAAGTTGAAAGCTACCGGTCTACAGGGAATCTGACTTGGCTTTTTCAATTTAACCTAAGTTTTTGCCATAGTAACTTAAGAGTCCTAATGGCAAAAAAGGAGTACAGTTCACTGGAGTGCTATAAAAACAAGGATGCAACTGAGTCTTAGCACTGTCTGAACTGACCAGCTTCCAAGGTTAAGTGTGAGCAGCTGTGAAGAGCTAGAAACAGGGATTTGAGAAAGCAAAGTCAGGGGTACTTTTAGTGTGTCCCAGCTAAGTAAAAAGAGAAAACAGGATTATCCTCTCTCCTACAGAAAAAAGCACACCCAAGTTTATTTCAGTTTAAACTGAGAAAAGCAGAAAAATTATTTCTGTTTTTGGTGGGCTTCCTTAGAACATGCTTCTCACAGAGACCACAGAGAGATGGGAGTAAAACTTGGCAGGTTTTGGCCATGGTTTTTGAAGCCACCGCATTAAACAAATGAAGGTGGCAGCAATAATATTTGCCCAAACCTTGGTTCCAACAGAGGATATACAGACTGAGCTTTCATTACATGAAAGGAGATGTCAGGAGCACCAAACGGGCTGAATTTTCCCTGGAGTCCTAGACAAAGTCAGTCTGTTTCTAAGCTGTGGACAGGAGGCTACATTCTCCAGATGCTATATTTAGCTAAAGGAATCTCCAACATGGCTTCATGCAAAATGTAAAATATGTCCCAGCAGAATTACCACAAAACAGAGGGCTAGCAAAAAGCATCCCTTAAGAGGATTCGATAGCATAGAGGGGCCAATTGTACAGCCACCCTGACATCCCCAAATTAGCTAAATTAGCTGTGAGCCAGATTTTTGGCGAGTTCTCACATTTAATGAGTCCTTGTTTTCCTCTGCAGAGGGCAGAGATATTCCGCCCCTGGGGAGTGTAAACATGCTGCCCTATTTCATTCCCAACTTCCAGCTGCTTGCCCCGAACCCAGGCAGGAAAAACAATCCAATGTTGATGTTCAACATCTCCACGCTCTTTGAAGGTTTATGTGCAAAAAAAAAAATTAGGCTAATTCTATAACTAAGTGAAATACCTGAATTCAATGGAAAAGAGAAAGTCCAGGATCTTCTGATCTCTGTACAACATACTTAGAGAATCCTAATACAGTGTGTAGATGAAAACATTGGCTTCTACAGCCAGGTGACTGGAGTTAATTTTTCTTAATCTCTCTCTCTCTCTCTTCTCTCTCACTTTTGAGACAAAGATTCACTCTGTCACCCAGGCTGGAATGCAACATCGTAATCTCTGCTCACTGCAACCTCCGCCTCACTGGTTTAAGCGATTCTCCCACCACCGCCTCTCAGGTAGCTGGAATTACAGGCACCCGCCCTCTTGCACGGCTAATGTTTGTATTTTTGTAGAGAAGGAATTTCACCATGTTGGCCAGGCTGGTCTTGAACTCCTGATCTCAGGTGATCTGCCCAGCTCGGCCTCCCAAAGTGCTGGGATTACAGGTGTGAGCCACCGTGCCTAGCCCTCTCTTTTTTTTTTTAAGAGACAGGATCTTGGTCTGTTACTTAGGCTAAAGTACAGTGGCATGATTATAGATCACTGTAGCTTCAAACTCCTGGGCTCAAGCAATCCTTCCTGCCTCAGCCTCCTGGGTAGGTAGGTCTACAGGTGTGTACCATCATGCCTGGCTAATTTTTTTTGGGATGGAGAGGGTAGAGATGGAGTCTTGCTATGCTGCCCAGGCTGGTCTGAACTCCTGGCTTCAAGTGATACTCCTGCCTCAACCTCCCAAAGAGCTGGGATTACAGGCTTGAGCCACTGTGCCTGGCCTGCTTAATCTCTCTAAGCCATAGTTTCTTCCTTCATAAAATAATGATGATAACAATAGTAACTACCTTATAAAATTATTGTAAGGATTAAAGGAGAAAACACATATAAAGAAAGTGCTTAACACAATACCTGGCACATATGGGTTCAAAATATAATGACTTCTATTATCATAACTTTTACAGTGAATTACTTAAGTTTTATAGATTAAAAAAAGATTTTTAAAAATGTTGACTTTTGCTAGAGACAAACAGACTCAAAATCACATAAAGCACAGGAGTCTACAGCCATACCAAAAATCAAGGTGCCTTTTCTAACCCTATGTCCCCAGAGAAATGGTTTCTTTCGCCACAGGAGCCAAATTTACTAGTAAAATGTATCCATTTTATGTATTTGAATCCCAATTTGGTATTTCTTGTTTGCTGACAGTGTAGATATCAGCATCTGAAAGAACGCTTCATTCCTCGAGACATGTGGTCTTCATTTGCTTAAGCTAGCCCTCTCCACACCCATATTCACTTTTGTTTGTCCTTATCTCTGGGATTACAGTTTACCTATCACAATTTAACAACGGTAACCTCACAACTAGAAGGAAGCCCCAAGTGTAGGATCCCCTTATCATCACAGAACTGTGGTATCCTGATTTGGAAGGCACCATGGAGAGCGTATAGACCACACTCTTTTTTTTAAAGTTTAAGGAACTGAGGCATAGAATGAAGTCATTGTCCAAGTCATTAACAGCAGAACTAGGTCCAAAAGAAAGGATCACATGGAAAAGACCTTTCCTCTGACCGCACAAAGCGAGTCCCAGGAAAGATTCATGAAACTACAGAATGGCCAAGGACATTCCTTAGGTCTCTTATCTGATACTATATCTTAACCAGTAGGATTCGAATGCTTCATGTTCAACACACTCTAAACAAAACAGGGGTGGGATGTGAAGAATGTTTCTTTGCCTATTACTAGAAAGCAGAGAGGCTCTTTATCCAGCCAAAACAGAAGGAATCTTGTGTGTGTGTGTGTGTGTCAGGGTCTCACTCTGTTGCCCAGGCTGGAGTGCAGTGGCATGATCACAGCTCACTGCATCCTCAAACTCCTGGACTGATGCAATACTACCACCTCAGCCTTCCAAGTAGCTGTGGCTACCAGCACAGGCCACCATGCCCAGCTAACTTTTAAAATTTTTTTAGAGACAATGTCTTGTTATGTTACCCAGGTTGTTCTTGAACTTCTGGTTTCAAGCCATTTTCCCACCTTGACCTCCTGAGTTGTTGGGATTACAGGCATGAGCCGCTATGCTTGGCTGAATCTATTTTTATGATGTGCCAACCAGCTTCTACCTTAGAGTTCTCTGCTTACATGGGAACCCGCAAGGGAGGGAGAAAAGAGATTATTCACCCCGTGGGATAGTAATCATTGCCATTCAACAACCCCATGCATGTCTCTGATCAACTACAATTTAATCAATCCAAAGTTACAAAGATCAAGAGAAAGTCCTATGATGCTGCAACTATATACAACAGTATGAATAAATCTCACAAACAGAATATTGAGTGAAAGAAACCAGACACAAAAGACTACATACTGTGCAATTCTATTTATATAAGGTTTGAAACCAAGCAAAGCTAATCTCTGCTGTTAAAAGTCAGGAAAGTCATTATCCTTGGGGATTTAGGGTGGGGAGATGACTAGAAGGGAATAGGAGGGGGCTTCTAGGGTACAGAAATGTTCTGTTTCTTGGTCTGGGTGCTAGTTACACAGGTGTGAATTCAGTTTGTAAAAATGCACATAGCTATTAAATTATGATAGGTATACTTTTCTTCAGTAAGACATAATACATAAACAGTCCTGTGAGAAATAAGAAGTTTTTCCTCACAATCTAGCATAGTAATACACAGATTAAGGAGGTCAACCCTGAGCCCATGGCTAGGAACATCATTCACAGATGAATTGTTTTTCTGGAGGTCATATGCCCCACACCTTGTGTACATGCCATGCACTTAGGTCTTTGGTAAAATATGCATATGGCACTTGAAGAATCAGGAACACTCGTGGCTTTGATATCTGGCTGGCTTCAATATAAGCACCTCTGAGATCTGGAGAGGCTACTAAATTCTCTCAGCTTGGTTTTTCTCTAACCTTCTAAGGTTGGGAGAAAAGGGAGCTGAGAGACTAGGTGACGTCTAACAAGGTGAACAGATCTTATAAAAGTTTTTTTCTCAGATGAACAAAGAAAACAGAGAAGGAAGCGATCAGTCAAGCCCTTTCCTTCTTGAGATAGTCTAAGTGGCTGTCAAGGTCATAAAGACTAGCTGTCAAAATTTCACCTAAATAGGTTTTAATTTTAGTCACACACACACATCACCAAGTATGGCAGAATAATTCAAATTAATAACAAGCAAGCTGAAGCTGATGCTGGAAACCATGGAGGAGATGGTGAGAAGTACCCTCACCCTGAAATGCGGTGTGGCCCCAACCACAGCACAGCCAGGCTACTAAAAATAGCCAGTGAGCTCTGGGAGGAGTTATCTTTCTCTGCCTTCTTTTCTTTGTCAGGTGATTTTTCTCAGTATTCTGTCTCTAAGATGTAGGAAAAACACCTTCACAGATGTAATTAGGTAGATTGAAGATTCCAGCTCTGTTATTTGATCAGGCTGTTAATTACAGAAAAAAAATCGGGTATTAATTCCAGATCTAGTGAAATCTGAAAAACTTCCTAACTGAGAATTGGAAAACGATCAAGAGCTTTGACTATATAGACAACAATCCTATTTATCAGAGTCCTTTCTCTCACACTTTCAAATGTTAATAATGGATTTTGTCACCTAGAAATTGATGAATTCTAAATAGCCCTCTATAATCTCTTTCTACCTGTAACTTATAGGAAGATTATTTGCTTTCTGGAAAGTCTTCCAGGAATGTCAACACTTGAATGGTAGACATGGCATATCACATACAATGGTTGGGGCCTTCACTGCTGTTTGTAACTAAACCTCGTGAATAAATGATTTCACTGTGAGCTCAAGCTGAGACAGCTTAGAAAACAGCTTCCTGGGTTTCCAAAAGGCTAGTTCCACCACTGACATGTCAGGTGAATTGGCTCCTTTAGATTTTCATGATTATTTTGAGTTTTCCTTAGTCAAACTGTTCAACCTATACCCACGGAAGTATGATAACAATTGAGTTTCGGAAAGCATTCAGAGGCTCAAAGACAAAGACATATCATATCAAACTTTTTTGTCTACCTTGGCCAAGATGAGACCTTGGAAAGAAAACTAAACCAAAAACATAAATGTATATGAATTTGCTACATGAACTAGAATAGGAAAACATAAAATGACACTGTAGGCCCCTTAAGCTCAACAGCTTCACAAATCACTTTAAGAAAACTTCCCAAAACACAGTTTTTATTAATAGATGCAGATTATGAATTACAGTGCCAGTCCTGAGTTTGTACCTTGCGAATGATTCCATTCCCAAGGCTACTATTAATTCAGCTCAGAAAGAAAGAAAAGAATGCCAATTCAAATATTTTTTCTCCACAAGTATGTGGTAGGGAATGACTAGTGGAAAGCCAATGAAGTGGGCCAGTAAGATATTCTTTTATTTTTTCTTTACAAATTTTATTTTAGGTTCAAGGGGTATATCTGCAAGTTTCTCACATAGGTAAACTGCATGTCACAGGGGTTTGGTGTACAGATAATTTTGTCACCTGGGTAATTAACATGATACCTAATAGAATTTTTAAAATTGTATCATTGCTCCACCCAAGAACCTCTGTGACTAGGAATATCTCTTTACCTTTTTAAAGAGTCTTCCTGAGTCCTCGCTGACTTGGACAAATCGAGGAATAATATTATTCAGGTAGATGTCACTCAGGGTGGTATGGTCCCTGCTTTCCCGCTTCACCTGGTTTAAGAGGAGATTCCAGCAGTTGACTGGAGAGAGAACATTCTGATCCTTCCTGTAGAGAAACATCAAGGAAAAAAAGTCATTGTTCATATGCACTCAGGGCAACATCTACGACTATAGTCCATGTCCTCAAGTCACAGCAATCAAAGCCAAATCAGAAATAAAGGCTGACCTGTCTAGTTTTCTCCTTTTTTTTTTTTTGAGATGGTGTCTTGCTCTGTCACCCAGGCTGGAGTGCAGTGGCATAATCTCAGCTCACTGCAACCTCCACCTCCTGGGTTTTCAAGCCAATAATTTCCTGCCTCAGCCTCCCATGTAGCTACGATTTCAGGCACCTGCCACCACTCCTGGCTAATTTTGTATTTTCAGTAGAGACGGGGTTTCACCATCTTGGCCAGGCTGGTCTTAAACTCCTGACTTCGTGATTCACCCTGCCTTGGTCTTCCAAAGTGCTGGTATTACAGGTGTGAGCCACTGCACCCAGACTAGTTTCTGCCTTTTAAAAAACTCAATGGAGAAAAAAGGAGAAAATAAGGACAAGAAGGAGAGGGAGGGAAGAGGGGAT